TTTAAAAAAAAAAATAATATACTCATTAATACATTAAAATTGTACTTAAAAGGCATGTTGTAATTTTTTTAATTTTAAACTTACCTCTAAATTTTTTATAAACCTGATAAATCCATTGTAAATTAAATATAAAGTTAACTCCACAACAAAATCACTTTAGAAATACGCAGAAAAATCCTGCAATCACTACCGATCACCAGCTATCCTAATCACGCTCAATAAAATCACACCTGTAATTCCGAGAATAAGCCAACGAAAATATTGAAAGATTGTAAAAACGATGTATTATTCCAACAACTTTAGGTGCCAATTAAATCCTCCTTTCATGCTGTCTCAGATTTAAATGGTTAGGGCACTGGAAAGTGTACAGAGAATATGATTTCTTTACCACTGGTCAGAGAGTGTCAAAGCAAGAGGTAATTTTGTCAAAACATATTTGCATTCAAAACAAGATAAAGTGCTCTCTCTTTTTTTCTCTCAGTGGTTACAAAGACAGGTAGACATTCCAAAGACAGATAGTGTGATTTTGTCTTTTAAATATGTGTAAACTTTATTGCCCCATGTTTGGTGGACTTATTTTTTTTAACTTCCTGCTCAATATAATCAGCAACTTTATAGCACCTACTTCAATAACAATCAATAAAACTATAAGGTATGCACAATTAAATCAAACCAAAAAGCACTGAAGCAACTATGTGTTTTTATTTATTTAAAATAATATCCTAAAGGCATATCGGATAATCCAATTTCCTAGTAACCACAGGGATCCATTATCAACAACTGATAAAACAAAATTTAAAATTCTTTTTCTTCTCACCTTCTAAATTAACTTGTTTACGTTGAAACGTGACCATATTAGTTTTTAAATTATCATTAACAGGTCAATGCAATGTCACTTTGAAATCTCAAATGGTCAAATTGTTCAATACAGATCCAACTAGGGGTGAAACGTAAGTAAGTAAGTAAGTAAGTAAATTTTATTTAAAGTCGGCATTGTATACAATACATAACAAGAAACATGAGCTCTGTAGAGCTCTTAAACCGACTATCACAGTTAAAATATCACAGGAAAACATTTACAGCATAAATTAACATGCAAAAACACATGTACATATATACACATACAAATGACAAATAAAACGAATTTTAAGAATTTAACAAATTATAAGAATTTATTATTTCATTAGAATAAGTTAAAGAAAAAATAGACAAATTGAAAAGCAATACGATTGCATTAAGAGGAACAAAAATAAATATAACGTGAGTATTATAAATAAATAAATAAATAAAAGTTATATGATAATAATAAAAATTAAGCACTAAGTTTAATCCATAAATTCAGATAAAAAAATAACTAAATGTATTATTAATAATAATTATAATAAATAAATAAATAAATTTGAAAGTTTAGAAAATTAAAAATTCACACAGACATAGCTAAACCAAATTTGAGAAAGAAGAAGGGGAAAAAAAAAAAAAAAAAAAAAAAAAATAAAAAAAAAATAATAACAGTAATTTAGAAATAATTTATGTTCCTCATCAATACACATCCTGCCTAGTGATTGGGTCAATCCCTACCTACATAGGCAAGATATGCATTGTTGTGAGGGTAAAGAAAAAAAAAAAAAAAAAAAAAAAAAAAGTAAAAGAAACACTAGAAAACTATGAAATAAAATGAGTTGGTATCATCAAAGCAAATGAAAGATTTCAAAAATAAATGAAAATTCAGCTGTTTCTAAACTAAGTGAATAAATAACAGATAAATATTGTCTCATCAGCTATGCAGCCCCACGCTGTTGTTTCTGCAGGAACTGCATTTGCATTTTTCCCCCGTCCATGTCTCAATGAAAGTTTTAAATTGGCTGAGGGTGGAAAGTTCCCTAGCATGATTTGGTAGAGAATTCCACAACGTAGCAGCCGCATAGCTGAATGACTGTTTCCCATACCTAGTGGTTCTTGGCCTAGGTAATTCGAGAGTCTTTTGATACCTAAAATTGTATGTGGAATTTCGCTGTTGAACTAAATCTTGCAGGAACAGTGGGCTTTGCTTGTTCATAATTTTGAAAACTTCAAGGGCCATGGCTCTCATACGCCTGATTTTCAGTGAGGGGAGATTTGATTTTTCTAGGAGCTGGTCATAACTGCTTGTGTAGTCATTATATATGAATCTTAGTGCTCGCTCTTGAATTTTTTCTATTTTTTTGCAATTTTGTTCACTGCTAAAATGCCATACCAGAGGACAATAACTAAAGTTGGACATTATAAAGGAGTGATAGATGGTAAGTTTACCCAGTTTACAAAGATGTTTCCCGACACGTTTTAACACATTTAATTGTCGAGCTGCTTTCTTACAAATATTTGATATATGAGACATTTACCGAGTTTTGTAAATGTTTAAACGAACAGCAGTAAACGAAACGGTACCGTTTAAATGGGAGAATTTTATGTATTGAATTTTTATGGCTACTTACTCATGAAACACTAATTTAATAAACCATTCTTTCACTATAATGTAAGTATGAGTTGTCATTGCTGTTTATTTATTTATTTTAGAACATATACTTGGAAAAATGAAATAATACATCGCTAGTTTTCACTTCTTGGAAATCGAAATTAAATATCTTAGACCATATTGGTTTCTAGATATATATAGTTTTGTTTAATATTACGTTTCCGGTATCGATTATAACAGAAAAAAAATGTTTGTAACAGACACAGAGTGTGCATTCTTTGGTAAATATGAAATAAAACAACTTGTTTGGATGAAAGGTTTTTTCTGATAGACATTGATATTAGCCTTCCTGTAAACCTTTACTCAATTTGTAAACGTTTAGAGAATTTAATTGAAACTTCACCGTTTACATGTGTAATCGTTTCGCCCTTAGATCCAACGTAGTTGCTAATTTTTTTTTTCTTTTTAGTCTTATAGAATAGATAATAACCAAGATAAAAGCACATATGTTTTTATATGCATAATTTAATATAATTTATATCTAAACATTATAATTGGTATCTATGCATCATATTTTAACATCTAAATACATGCAGTTTGATAAGTGATTGTTTTTGATCAACAATTAATTACATGTACTTTCATCAATTTCAACCAAAAAGGTTCAGTAAATTTAATTTTACTAACCTGTGTACATCTTGGATGTATAGAGGCATCATAGCTAGTCCCATCATTGGTAGTTTATGTACTGCATGTCCACTACAACCTCCAGAAACCCTGGGGCTATCAAGTCTCAGTCAGAAACCACTCAGATTTCCTCACTTTTTATCATATATCGGCTGAAAAACATAAGCAGTGCTTACAACAGTGCCCATGCACAAAATGATACTGATGATGCACCTTTAACTATTCTTCATATTTTTTAACCCATATGGATGCCATTTGTTGCTTAAATAATTTCCTTACCCAGACATTTGAGGAAATTCTCTCTCTCTCTCTCTCTACAAAAGTATACTCAAATGATCCTGGTGTAAATCCCTTCACAAGAATTGTCCCACAATCCCGTTGCATCCCACCTCTAGTAGGAGGAACTGCATCCTCCAGTCTGACTGTTGACAATCTACAACAAAATCTTATAGTTTTCAGTTAATAGCAAAACAATATTTTTAATTTCATCAACTATTAAAAATGATTTCACAGGTGCAAGTTATCAATTTGAAAATTTTAATAATCAGTTTAGAGTAATCTCAATACATTATAAAGCCCTTTTATGTTTGGTAACATCAAGAAATATTAATTTTTTTGTCAAACATGTTTACATATATTATATGTATGTACATCCTCATTCTTTAATTTATATACTACCATAGTTTAATCAAAATCTGCCCAGAGGTTCTGGTCTTCTTGATATTAAAAAGATGTTTTCATATATATTTAATATAAAACGTTTTTATTTTCCAAATTATTTCCAATTTTTCCCAGATTTAACTTCAGTACATGTATAATAAACACTGGTTTCAAAGAATTAATACATAGTTCTTTCCAAACCTGTACACCAATCCCATATCTCACCTAGCCAAAACCCAAAACCAGTCAACGGCCTGTAACAATTTCAGAATTTTGGCAATTTAAGTAGGTATCCACTCTTGGACCTAGGCAAAGCATTGACTGGTGTCCAGTGGGCAAATTCAGAGACTGCTGGAATGACAAACATCTAAATTTTAAGACAAAATAAGGTATAAGATATATAAAATGGTGTTTACATTTTTATGTATTTTGCATTTGGATTAGGCATACAGATTGGGTGTTCATACTTTAACATATTTAAATAGGTCGAAAACACAGGACGCTAATATTTTTTAAAGGAAAATTGCAACCTCCCCCTACTGTACCCTATCCATATTATGGCATACAAATGAAATAAGTTTACACAAAACTGCAATTGGGGTTATATTATTTTATTAATAGACACATTTGCAATCCCTTTAAGCCCTAATTTTTTTTCAGATTCTGTAAAGTTTACAATAAATTATGCCTAATAAATAACATCTAATTAGGTCGAAGATACGATACGCCAGGATAAATGAGGATATTTACTTAAACCTCGCAGATTTCATCAACCGACCAAAACAATACTGTAAAACTGTACGCACTAGAAATCAAGGTAAGGTACATTTTAGAATCAATAAATATTTATCATTATTCATACATGTACCAATTCAATCATCCGGACGGTCGGTCTGATCCCAGCCGTAGATAGGCTAGCCTATTTTTCTCAGCTGCTGAGTCTGTTTCACCGAATTCCCGCCAATATTTTATTGAAGAAAATCGATCCCGATCATAAAGAGCATGTGTTCTATTCTGTAATTTCTGATCTATAAAAAGAAAACTGTTAAAATATATTTCCTATCATTTGATAAATAAAGACAAAAAATAAATACCATTTTTTCTATACTCTTATGTTTGCATAGTTCGTGAAAAGATAGCGACTGCATACGAAATTTTAGTTCGGGCACGCGAGTCAATATATGACATGATTAGTTTCGAT